AAAAAAAAAAAAAAAAAAGATTTTGATATTACAACTCTAAGCATGGTCTTAATTTGTTTGATCTGATCGAGCGAGAATGTGATAGTAGATTTGATGATGGGCTTAAACTCCACAGCAGCATTGCCAGATCATATCCCTGAACTATCATCTTCGACCCAACAGCTCTTCAGGAGGCTCCATCCAAAATCTGATAAGGTGTTGAAAGCAGAATTAATGATGTTCATTTTAGGCCCAGAAGAGGCCACTGCCCCCAGTGAAGGAAAAGATCAATGGACGAGAAGGATCATCTGCTCTTTGTAAGCAAGAAAGAAGAGCACCCATGAGAGAGAAGCCATCCCCAAGGGCATGGTGAAGCTCGAACACAAGATTACCAGCTGCATGCGTGGTAGGATACTTGATGATATGAATTTCCCACAAAGGTCGGTTCTGTGGAAGCTGCTCCATTGCTAATATTGATAGATAGTCGGTGAGATAGTTATCGTAAGATTGCAGTGACAATCCGGCCGGGTAAACAGGGATTTTTACATGGTCTTTCAGCTTTACATCGACCTTCTTCCACCTCATTGCTCCATTTGAGCTACGTACCTTAACGGAGGAGAAGCGAGTGTTAATGGGAAGTAAAGCATCCTGGAGCAACGTCATGGTTAGTGTGTCATTAATGGGGACTGCAGATTCCAGGATACCAAGGATACATATTGACAAAGCAGAGCTATTGAAGTACACTCCTGTAAGGCTAAGTGGCTCAGACTCTGGCCCCAATTCATACAAGCTCATGGCTTTGCTTCACTTCAGAGTTCCCCTCAAAATTTGATTTTGTTGCCTTGTTTAGTTCTTCATGTGACTGATCACCAATGATGCCATCTTGGTCATGCTTTATAATTGAAGTTTCTAACCTTCTCAGTGTTGTCGGTGGAAGAAAAAAAAAAAAAACCTTTTATGGTAGAGTTTAGACGGATCAAACTTTCATAATAGATTAACAGTTGTCAATTAATGATGATCATCAATATCATGCCACAACCTAAAGTTAGCAAAGCATACGTTATGTCTTTTATTTTAAAAAATTTATTGTTTTAATCTTTTACCTTATACATTAAAACTTTTAGCCTTTAAATTTAAAAATTTTAAAATTTTAATGCTATCGGAATTCATTAAATCTCCCTTGAATGTGATTAAAAAATTACAAAATCAATCCTCAAATATTAAAAAATTGACAATCTAATCCCAAAAGTTTTAAAGAATAAATTAATAAACTAAAAAGAATTGATGAATGAGCTAATCACATAGAGGAGAACAATATTAAATGTTTGCAATCAAATTGAACAGTTGGCTCAATTTGAAAAAAAAAAAAATAAGATTGAAAAAGATTTCTTACCTAAATTTAAAATTAGAAATTCAAGAGAATAGAATAATAAACTTAAATAATGGAAGCATATAATTACACAATCAATAGGTCTAATTTAACTAAAAAAGAAGACTTATCACCTGCATTTTTATTTTTGTGTTTGCACCAAACGCCGAGCAACTAGTTTTTTTCTTTTCTTTTTTTTACTTACTTTATTATAGCACCATTTTACAAAACACAAATAAATAACTTTCTGCGTTTATTTGGCAAGTGCAGGAAACTAATTAAAAAAATGGCGGGTTGGAAACCGCGCCGAAACTAAACTAAAAAAACAAAAAGGGCAACAAAAGGGTATTAGATGGCATTTTTACAAACCTTCTAGAAAACAATCTCGATTTCTAATTCCAAGAGTTTCTGCACAAGCTTATTTCCATTTCAAATTCCAATTTCGATTTCGATCCCATCTAAACTTCCTTTGAAGTCCAATTTCAAATTCCAAGTTTTTTTTTTTTGTTGGGAGCATTCAATCCAGGCTCGGTGTTGCTCAAGACCAAGGCTCTGGTAATTTTTACCCGACTCCGGTGACGGCGTAGACATTGTCCAGCAACCCCTGCAACTCCGATCTCCCTCTCTCTTTCGGTAATCATTCTGAGAACTTAGAATTGCATTACTTAGGTCTCTTATCAATTTTGCAATAACTCAAATTTATTTTCAATTACCTTTAGTTTTTTCTTTCTATTTCTTCTGCCGAATCCGAATTGAAGTGTTTAGGAGATTGAGTGGTAATATGTAGTTTTGATTAGCTTGCATTATTTCGCTTCTTTTTGATTCTTTTAGTAACTAGTCTTTTGGCTACTGAGAAAATGAAGGATTATTTTTTATTGTGCTATTTTTTGCTTGTTTTTGAGAATGAATGTCTATTTTGTAGTCCAATTGGTGAGATTTTAATGGTTGGAATTTCAATTTTTATTATAAAGGAAAAATGATATATGATATTAATATCTCTGTAAACACACTGATTTTTTTCCTATTGTTCTGTGTAGAAAGTGCTTTAAGTTTCTGTTGTTAAGATTAGATAGTGTTTTAGCCATGATTTGAAATGACAGGTAAATGGGCAAAGGCATTCTTTTAGTAGTAATAATATTGTTAAAGTGACTAAACAGTTATAAATAAGAATTTCATCTTGATATACTTCTTTTTTTAATCTCATATTGTTAAATTTTTCTCTAATGGATAAAAGTTGGATTAGCAAACCACCATTGTCTAAAGAATATCGTGATGGTGTTAAAAGCTTCATTAATTTTGCAAGGAAAAATTCTTCTAATAGCAACTCTATTCTGTGTCCCTATGTGGATTGTACAAACTGTCACTTGTTAACATGTGATGAAGTTGAAGAACATCTAATCTTTAGAGGGTTTTTGCAAGGGTGCATTCACTGGTTTTGCCATGGAGAGTCTCCCACATTAGCTTCTTTTGATCAGTTTCTTGTGCAAAATGAATCTTACTCTCAAAGGGCTTCTGAATTGCATGTTGATTCAGAAAATGAGCAGTGTTGTTGGCTGTCGGACTTCGTTTATATGATTGTGTTGGCTAATTTTTGTTTACTGCATGCTAATATGTACAAAAATTATGGATGTGGTGAACTGTGTACAGAGAATAGGGTGTTGGAAGAGTGATTAGGAGGAAATATGTGTGGTTTTTAGGTTTTGATTTCTTGGAACTTCTTTTGTCTAATAAGCTATGTGTAGAGAAACGCAGATTGATTTGCTGGAATTTTGTAGTTTGAGCTCTACATTGTAGTTAATCTTGTTTATTGCTTGTAAATGTGATCTGAGTTTCACTAAACAAGAATGAAACATGTTCTTTTTTGTTGTATCCTGAAAATTACTCTCCAGATTATTGAAGAAGGTTGTTCTTGCTGATAAACAGCGCTCTTCATTGGAATTGATTTCATCCTTCCACAGCTGTCAACATTGGAAAGGTACACACAATTCAACTTGTTCTTTTAATTTTTAAAATTCTACTAGTATTGTGTTGAATTTTGGTCAGTCTTCTTTGTTTTTTTTCCAAGCTATTTAGTGGCTTCCATTGGTCATTGTCTTTATTGTTTTAAACATATCCTTTTGTACTTAAAATATGATTGTGACTTTTCTTATTTCCTAGCGGCTAATATTGGGTGGGAAATGGCAGAGAAAATGCACATGAACATGATATAAGCAAGGAGCCTAGGATAAATGCCTTAGAATGTGGGAGAAGTTCATGGACTATATACATTTATGGTTTGAATTCAGTTTCCATATAATCCTTAGTCCATTGCTTAGTGAACTTGTGCATAAATGTGTAATACATTATAAAGCTGGAAGTAGACTTGGATTTGATCGATTCAGTAGCTTTGAATGTTATTCTTGAAGCCATGTATGAGATGAGTAGATGAAAGACCTGCTAATTGTTGGTTTCTTCTTACTGAGAAATGACTTATTTCATTATCTTCTTCTTGGCAGTATACCATTCTCCTTGCACGACGATGCTTTTGTTCTGAAGTTAATCCAGGAACACCAACAAGCAGGCAGCCAAAATATCCCTCGGAGTTCCATTCATTCAGGTTCAAGGTCTTGCATCAAATCAGTAGGCTTCAAACTCTGAAACCATAGGAAATACATGTAAAATCAACATACAGCCGAGTAGCAATAGGAAACAAAGAGGCGTATAAGTCTGGTTAGTGTACATAACAGTGGATTATGAGATTATCCAAGGTTACTTTTGGAATAACGTCTTGTTCCGCACAATTTTCATCTTAAAGTAATGATGCTACTGGTGGCAGCAGCTACTTTGGTTTGATTAATTGTGCTTGATCCTAAATGGTTTTGTCAACAAATAGGTGGAGTGTTTTGGTAGCCAAAAAAAAAAAAAAAAAAAAACCTCTTCCTGCGTTTTTAAGTAAACGTTGCTAACCAAAATAACAGAAAAAAAAGGCCTTGCGTTCGACAAAAGGTGCAAGTAAAAACAGCAGCTATTTGGGACTTTTCCATGGGCAACACCTACGTTTTTCAATGTGATTTCCTTGCATTTTTTGTAAATGCAGGGGAAAAGTAGTTTACACCAGCATTTGTATAAAATGCAGATGTGATTTTACCGGCTCCACTTATGTTCACTTTTGTGTGGTATTTATGTAAATGCTGGTAACTTTTTTATCTGCATTTAAAAATACAGGTAAATTCTTAACAAACATGGATAATAAACTTTTTTCTTGTAAATTATTTGTTCATTGTATAATCATACATTTTCATCATTTGAGTTTATTTTCTTAATTCAACTAATAAATTTTCTTCAATTTTAGCTAGAATTATTTCTTCAAATTAAACTACATATAATTTGATTGCAAATGCCAAGTATTATTCTCCTATATGTAGCAAAGTCAAGCATTAATTCTCTTTAAGTTTATTAATTTATTTTTAAAACTTTTGAGACTAAACTATCACTTTACTAAACTTTGAGAATTGATCTTATTATTTTTTAATTTTACTTAATGAAGAGTTGACAAATTCTATTGATTTAGTACCTAAAATCTTTAAACATTTTAATTCAAAAGCTAAAAACTTTAATGTGTAAGGTGAATGTTTAAAAGTTACAAACTAAATAAGGTAAAGGGGTTAAATATAAGTTTTTCCCTAAAAGTTTTGGCAGACCTACGTCCAACGGTTAGACATGGACCCATCGCCTCAACTTTATTTGGCTTCATTTGACTACGGTGTTACATGCTTAGTAGTTATATGTTATTTGAAGTCAGCTTATAAACATTTCTTTTCAAACACAACTATATTTAGCAAAATAAGCCACATAAGCACATACCAAAGCGGAAAACAAAGCAAAACCCATACCATTTGTAATAGATAATTTTGCTCATAATATATATAGATAATTAAATACAGAAAATCAACAATTAATAAAGATCATTTAAGCAATTATTATAAGGGAGAAAATAAATATAAGAGGACATAATCATACCTCTCAATTTAAGGAGTCTCATCTAAATACTCTTTACTTTTTAGGGAAGAAAGCTTAACTAAGGACCTCACCCCTTGATTTTGTTTCAATCAAAGCAAGTGCTATAAATGATCGAAATCCAACTAGCCTCACATCTTCATTACCTTCCAAAGGAGGAAACTAAGTACAACTTGATTAAACACATCAAGAGAGACCTAGTAGAAACTTGCCAAAGGAGGTTCAAGAGAAAAATCCTTTAAACGGGGAAAAAAAATCTCACCTTTATTATGCAAGTCCCTCGTTGCCAATGTACCAAAAAAACAGTGTAGCTGCTGAGCGAGGTAAAGCAGCTAGGCTGTAAGTTGTTAATAACAGCCAATTCAAACAGCAACTAATTTATTTTTACTCCTCTACCCTAGAAATCCTCTCTCTCCATTTTTACGCTCTTATCTTTCTTGCTCCTCTTCCTACCTTATCCTCTCAATTTCGGCATGATTGCGCATCCTCGTCAAAACCATTCCGTAAAATTTCTTCTTTTTGATGTTCAAGACATAAGCGAAAATTCATGACATTCCAGGTAATTTCCATCAACAATTTTTTTTCTTATGCCCAAAAAATTTAAAAGAAAAAAAAAAAAAAAACTGTCTTTTCTCTCTTGGTTACAGATTCCCTATTATTATGGATAGAACCATGAAGACACAAGAAGCCCTACCAGTAGATATAACGTCATACTTAAATATTGTTCATATGTAAAATGAAAAATCATGCTGACATTAATCCAATCCTACATGGATGCTTTAGACCTAATTTATGGCTTGATTGGATGTAGTATCACTACAAGAAAAATGATTGTTGGTGACAGAAATTTGTGATGAATTTTGAAATCATCATTATAACTTATCACAATTGTGACAGATCTAAAAAATTAGTCACAGATGCATACATATTTAACGATGAACAAAAAAATTCATCATAAAAAATATATTTCATCATCGAAAAATGTTCATAGAGATAAAATAAGCTTTTGTCAATAAAAATCATCACTATAATGTATTACAATTATAACAAAATTCTAATATTGGTCACATATACCTTACACATTCAATGATGACCAAATAATTTATCACTAAAAAATATATTTCGTCACTAAAAATTATCAATTTTCTCTAATCAATGCATCCCACATCGATAAAAAACACATAAGAAAACAAGGTTTTGCACTATAAATATATCCCACATCGATAAGAAATATTTAAGAAAATAAATTTTGCATTATAAAGCATGTGAAACTCAATAAAACTTGAGATTAGTTTGGGTCTGATTAATTTTAATTGGGCTTGATTAATTTTAATCAGTCTTGATTAATTTTAATCAAAATTAATTAGTATTGAAATAATAATATTTTTTTATTAAATTTTTGTGATAAATTTATATATTATTTTTTTGTGACAATTTTTGTTAAAATTTGTGTTGTAATTATATAAATATCTTTTTTATTTAATATCAATTTTAATAGTTAATGATTAAATTTTACATCATAATTGCATTTGTGATAAATATTTTTTTGTGACAAATAAAATTGTTATAAATAACTTGTTAACAATGTCAATTTTTTCTATCACTATAAAATTATTTTCTATGACAGGTGCTTAATTTGTCACTAAGAGCATTAGTGACAAGGGTTTTACCAACGATTTAAATTTTATCACTAATAATAATTTATGACGAAAAATAAAGATTTAATAATCAATAATTTAGTCACTAAATATGGATTTTCTTGTAGTGTATCAAAATGCCCTAATTTTTTTTTTTTATCTTGAGTTGCACAATAAAAAATAATTTTCTTCTATCTCTTAACCTATTTCACTTGCATATTATATAACTTAAATTCAAGTTCTCTTACTTTTTTAAAAAAAATATCATTAAATTATTTAAGTTATTAGCTTTTTTTTCTTACATCTAAACAAAAGCACTAAGTTTCTTTTCCTAACCTTTTCTATATTTTGAAAAAAAAATTCTGCGTATGGCTACATGCATATCATCAATGCCATGCCATAACCAAAACAAGGACAATATTTAACGTGACAGCAGCCACAATCCACACCTAACGTTTTTATATTTAAATGACATCCTGGATCTTACAATATCAATTAAATCTTAGGCCCGTGAGTGTGGCAATCTTGAATAAGGGTCCATAAAATAATACAATTTCAATATAGCAGAGGGTAGCCTTCAAGGCTTGCTAGTACCAGTCCGGGCGAAGACAACTTCATGCATCTATGTAGGAGCTCAGGAGCAACTATGAACAATGAACAAATAATAAAGAAAACAGAAAAATTAGAGAGAAGACGATGAAAGAGACATCGTATATTATTCTCTTATCTCTAAGGTTTTTAAAATCGGACCGGACCAACCAGTTGAACCGGTCGGACTTGTACCCGGTGATGAAAATAGTTCGGTTTATATAAAAAAACCATTTGAGGTCAAAATCGGTCAAAAATTGGTGAAAACCGATAAAAATCGATGGAACCA